CTTTCCCATAATCTTCATCTATGAATACCTGCTGTAAAACTGACCAAAAACAAAGCAGTATGAAATTACGCATACAGACACAGTATATGACATTGCTGTCCTCATGTCCCACTTTCCCAACTTCAGCTAAAGCATCCCAGAAGGAATGATTGGGAGTGCCAGCTACCAAAAAGACAGTTAAATGTACAAATACTCACTGCCATCGAGTCAGACCTGACTCATAGTGACCCCTCCTTGGGTTTCCGAGGCAGTATCACTATGAAAGTGGATTGCCCAACCTTCCTTCTGAGAAGTGGCTGGTGGGTTTGAACCACCAGCCTTCTGGTCAGCAGTCAAATGCCTTAGGCACTAGGCCACCAGAGCTCCTCAGTCTTCTAAAAATAACAAATGCTATAGAGCAGAAAGTTCTTTACCTAAGGTGCTTTGAATTCCTGCTGTGTATGGCAAAGAGTGAGAAGGCCTCCTAGCTGAGAACTTAGTTTATGAGAGGACCTGAGAGAACCTAAGGAGCATAGCTTTTAAAGTTACATTTTTTCAGCAGAAAGTGGTGGTTTTTGACGTCATTTAGTGGGAGTGCCTAAACTCTGTTTTGGGGAGGAACCCTTTCTGAGACTTCCCATGAGATATATAAATTGTCCTTTTGTAACTGAACCAGGTAATTCCCAGGTTAAGAATGAGATCCAGCAGCCTATCCAGCCCAAACAGCTAAGTCCAGATGCCAGAGCCTCCAGCCTTTCTGAAAATTCTCCACCCAAAGCAGCCAAGGTATGATAGTTATTTGTCTCTGAGCCTTTAGACATTGGTTTACTAGTAGAGTGAATTGCACCTTTTATCATTACATCCATTATAACCTTGTAACTTTCCTGAGGATGATGATGAGGTATGCTTATGCCAGTCTTTTTCCCTGGAAATCTTGCTCTTTGCTTAGGTGGTTGTACTGCCGTGGGGGAAGTTCACTAATATCTCAGTTTGAAATCTGGAAAACTCATAAATGTTGAAAAAAACCTGAAGTTAAAGAAAATAGCCTGAAGTTTTATTTTTCAAAAGTGTCCAAAGTAGTACATTGTATATGAATTAAAGCCCCAAAATGGGAAATATGAGACATCTGTTAAACTAAAATCTACCTATCAAATGGAGATATGTAATGTCACCATAAAGATGGTGGCTCCATGGCCACTTGACTATAACTTGATTGGTTGTTAGCACGTTTAAAGAGTGTGTCCATTGGGGTTGACTGCTCCATTTTCCATAAAAATGGACATTCAAGTAATACATATACTATGGTAAAATATCAGATGTAAAAGAATGTACAAATTTTGTATCCAAAGAAAATTTTACTCAGTCTGTAGTCTCCTTTTATTCTCTACTTTTTAAAAACAGAAAAATGATCTTTTCCCTTTCTGTGAGCAAACATATATTCTCATAAAAATGAAAAAGATAGAAAAGAGCCCACATTTTATTTTAGGCTCATTAACTAACCTGTCTTATGCTTTGCTAACACAGTGCTAATTTACCTATTTAGATTAATAACTAAACATACCCACACTTCTTCAATGTCTCTTTCTCCTCTGGTACTCTGTTAAGGAAACTAGGTTTGTTGTTTCCTTGTTTTGTTGATTTTGGCTGTTGAGAGGAATTCAGTAGGCAGAATTAGTGGGAAGATGGTTTGTGCCACCCCAACCTCATGCACTTAACTGCCGTGCTTTCATCTCCCAACTGATGCATGATCCGTGTTTTAATGGCCTTTTTAGTGCACAGAAAGAATGAAGAAAAGAGGACGTAGATAAGGGTTGGGAACAAAGGGAGGGAAGGAAAGAATCCAGCACTTAAAGGGTAAATCAAAAAGTGGAGAAGAGGACTTGAAAATTTTGAAGGAAGCAGAGCTGTATGGGGCAAGTAAGGTTTATTGGAAAGGAACTGAGAGGTGAGGAGCTAGCAAAAGAAAGCAAGTGAAAGGAGAAGGAACTGGGTTATACTGATTGAATCTGCACATGTATCCAGCATGACCCTCTGTTCTGGCCTTGATGATCATGCTTTCTTTTTCAGCATTGGGAGTCCAACAAAGTAGCAAATGCCACAGGGTTAATTTCCTCTCCAAAAGCAACCTTGCCCAGATGTGGGTCTTTGCATTGGTACTCTGGATCAAGAACAACCAGTAATTGACCTTGGCCACAGGTTCTGTGTAGCCGAAGGGTCTGGGGTATTTCCGTGGCTAATCTAAGAACTAAAATCTGTTCCTGAGTATATTTGAATTCTTGACTAAGTCTTGCTTCCCTCCCTAAACTGCTAGGCCAGACCTCATAGCACTGGTTGGACCCTTGACGTGCCCCCTGATTTAGACAACCCCTAGGGTCTGAGGTGAAAGATGTGGTGCCAAAGAGTATACCTCACCTAGGTCTTCCCAGGCACACCAGGGAAAGAGGCAGAGGTAAAGCTCTCCTCTGCACCTGCCCCAGGCCTGGGCCTAGTTCTTTGGACCTGGTCACTCAGCAGTACAATGCAGGTAGGCCTACCTCCGCCAGAGAAACACCTCAGGTTTAGCACATTGTATTAAGACTAGAGTAGACTGGCCTAGCTTATTATGTTTGTGTCTGTGGTCCAAAGTCCAAATGGTTATAGTGTACAGAGCCTGAGTGGGGCTCAATAATATCTCTACTTCTGTTTACAGACAGTTTTTTTCTCTTCCTCATAGTTGTCCTTTATATTCTGTATACAAAGTAGTAAATATTCACAGCAAGACCTGCTTAGTGTAACTGCTGTCATAGCTATAGGCCCAAAGTTGCTTCTCCACTTTGAAAAATTACATACAACTAAGAATAGACTTATTCACTTAGAATAGATTTTTGAGTTCTATACTTCCTAGGAAAAACTGTTCCTTGGTTTTGTTTATTTGTTTGTTTGATACCCCTATGTCTTCTGTTGAAAATAGGACATCTAAGGTAGAGACTTAATTCATTTCAAATTTTAGCTAAATTAACAACAACAAAAAAGTATTGGTCCTTGAATGTAAGGATTTTGTATATTTGGGACACTGGCCAGATAGCTCTGTTGGTGAGATTTGGTGCTACTGAATTTGAAATTGCGTGTTCAGTCTCAGAAAGGATGTTATTCTGGGAGCAGGGCTCCGTGGACCTATGAGAAAGGTCAGGCCTTTTCTGCTTTCTTTGAGAGATCAGAAAGCTCTTATACTTTGCCATTCCATTCAAGAGAAGTCACCCTTTAAATGTGCCATAGGAGAGGACAGGGCACAAAGAGCCAAGGAGATGTGACTGGTCCCGGTGAACACCCACTTACTCTACAGTGTCCAGGGCAGCCCGGCCCCAGATTTCCTCCAGCTGGTCCTGGGGATGGCTAGAGAGAAAACATGGAAGCACGCACATTACAGAGGCTCTCTGCTGTGCCCGCTGGCCCTCCCCTGTGCGCAGGGTAGGAGGTTTCATGCTGTTTCCCAAAGCTATCAGAATTAGGCTAGAAGGACATTTAGAATATTTTCTCTCCCTCTACATTATTACTGCTTTCCCAGAGCACTAGTCTTTTCTCTATACGTAGAGCAGTCTATTTAAGATGTGAGTATTCCCCAAAATGCTTTCAAAAAGAGTTCCACAGAAAGCCAGGGGAAGGGTTAAGGCTGCACAGAACCGGCCTAAACATTTACTGTGTGGTAAAAAATTTGTTTTATTACCTAGATGTTTTGCACAAATTGGAAGGAGGGAATGAAAGGCATTTTGTGGTATTCAGCCTAAGGGGATGGAGGCCTAACATCAAAAATACAGACTTTTCTTCTGATTTCACTGTGTCTTAAGGGCTAGTGGCATAATGGTTAAGTGCTCAACTGCTAACCAGAAAGTTGGAGATTCGAACCTGCAAGCAGCAACGCTGGAGACCTGGCGATCTGCTCTTAGAAAGCTTTACAACCTAAGAAACCCTATGGGGTAGTTTTACTCTGCCATATAGGGTTGCTAGGAGTTGGAATCAACTTGATGACACACTGCAATAAGGGCTAGTTAGCTTCACTTCCTATTGCCAGCTGCCATGCCCCTCCCACCCCACACAGGTACACACTCCAACTGAGGCTAAAAAAATATATGCAAGAGAACAGGGTGAAATAGTGTAGATGAAGCCATGAAAATGTATTTGAAAAATAATTTTAAGTAGACGCTGATCAACAGAGGGCCTGTAATAGCCCTCGTATGGGAAAGGCATGGCATTGATTATGAACATCAATTATTTACATAGGACCTCATTCGTTCCCAAATATCCTGAAGATATTATCTGCATACTTTTAATTTGAAATGACAATTTCAGCATATTTTAAACTGAAGGTTGTTGTCCAAAACACTATAGTGACATTATTTTCATTTAGGTTAGCATCTGCTCTCTTCCCCAAAGAGTTTTCCTTTAGTTCTGGAAATTTAACACTTCAGGACAATTTAGGAAATATACTCCTGGTTTGTGACTCAGGAGTTCTGAGTTTGAATCTGAATTCTACTTACTGACTGTGTGAACTTTGGTAAGGCACTTGATTTCCTGGTGCTTCAGTTTCTACATGTGAAAACTGCAGGGGATGGAAAAAAATATTTATGTATATATCTTCTCTTACATAACAACAACACCAACAACTAACAGAAAAAAAATATATTGTGAAGATAAAAATTATCTAACATTCTAATACTGGCAATGTTTTCTAAGTGACTGTGCCAAGTCAGAGCATGTTAGGAAGGCAGGGGCAGGGTGTATGCCAGGTCTGCCATAATGGTAGAGATTTGGGAGCACTAACTCTGCTTCCTGTTGTCTGAAAAGACATAGGGGCAATTACAGAAAAGTGGCTGAGAGCCCAGGACAGAGAAAATAAAGGAAAGGCACAGCCGCAGCCACTATGAGTTGGCATATCCTCTTGTTGGGATCCTCTTGTCTCTATGAAATGACAGGGGGCCCTTGGGCAGCTTCTGCATAAGGCTTAGATAATATTGAAAAGGGTTTATGTAAGTAAGAAATGAAGAAGAGGAATGGGAATCTGATAGGTCTGGCTACTTAGAAGCTTGAGGTTAGTCAGTTTGAATTAGCAGTCTATTAATTTGATGTGAAGCAGGAGGAATGACTGCACTTGCGTGGGTGAAGGCTCCTTTAGAGAGAGCCATCATGGGTCAGGTGTGGGAGGTGGTAAGACACTAAAAAATTGTTAATGAGATACTCCTTGTGTGGGATCAGGGTAATAAAAGCTCTGTCTTCTGGGTGGGATATGTTCCAGCCTCAGGTGGAAGTGAAGCTGGTTTTGCCGCAATTAGCAGAGTGACTTGAAAAAGAAAGAAAATGTGGTCTTATTCTTGGGTCTAAGTCTGCAACTCAGTTTGAGCTCAGCTGCAGTAAAACGCTCCAGACACACCAAATGCTGTGTATTCATTGAAGGTTCCTGTTTGTCTCTTCCAGCTTCTGCTTCCTGCTCCCGGTACCTAATTTCTGCTCCTGCCTTCCACTTTCCTCCTAATGTGAGCTCAACTTTCAGCTTTCTCTCAGGTTCTCCTTTCTATTCACTGGGCTGAACCCTCCTCTTCTGTGTGTTTGTAAAAGAGGTGTTCTCTGTATCCCACCACTCCCCGTTAGCAGAATAATACCCATTTCCTGTTAGATGTGTGAAATTTATGTCTCATACTTTGTCTTCAGTGACTAGAACAAGCACTTAGTCTCCTAAGTCTATTTCAAATGTTAAAAATATGGAATCTGCCCTGCAGCTGAAAAAGATTTTCAAATATATTTGTCCTGTTCCTTTTACATTATGTGAGTTGTGGTTTGCACAGGCTCTCTCCAGTGGCTTCGGTGGTACAATTACACTCTATTTCAATTCTGCATGTTAATGTATCTCCTACTTGCTAGACAAAGGCTTAGTCCATTTAGAGAAAATCTAAAAACCTATGCAAAGATAGCTCTCCATAGAGCCTATCTTGCCAGAAGTGTCCATATAAGGGGGGGGGGGGGAAGAGAGAGAAAGAATTCTAAGCTCCAAATAATGCCTTAGTTACTTCCAACACATTCGTTACAATGATGTTTAGTGATTGATCACACTTAAATACCTCCCTTATGTTTGACCTTAAGGAGCTCTGGTAGTGTAGTGATTAAAGCATTCACCTGCTAACCAGAAGTCCATGGTTCAAACTCACCAACCGTTCCACAGGAGAAAGAAGAGGCAGTCTTCTTCCTTAAAGATTTTACAGACTTAGAAATCCTTTGGAGGTCTCAATGAGTTGGAATTGACTCAATGGCAGTGGGTTTGGGGTTTCTTTGGTTATGTTTGACCCTATGTTTGCTCTTTGATTCTTTAAATTTTTCTCTTTAGGACTCTCCATCAACAATGAAGGGGTCTGTGAGCTACCTATTTGCACTTGGTTCTGCGCCTGCATTCCTAAATCCCTTGGGTGCTATTTGGGAGTTTACTGCTAATTTTAGTAAACTCCTTTTATAGATCTTTTCCTTTGCTTCCATTTTATACTCATTTTCTGCTCTCATTTCCTGTCCAATTCTACTTGGAAAATCATTCCTATTTTTTGCTCTACCTCCTAGTGATTCACGTGGCAAGTGAACTAGCAGTGGGAATGTTTCATGAGCTTATTTTCAGGTTTGTTCATCACAATTCTATCTAGCCTGTAACCTGGTTTATTTAGGCTTATTTCTAGCATTAGGTTAATTATTATTAACTGTTCCTGGTCCTGGGCCTTGGGACAAATTTGCAAATTTGCATTCTCTACCACCATGCATTTTCTGATAAAAGCCCACTGTGGTCTTGGCAGCAGAGGGGCCACCTTGGTGCTTGCCAGAGCATCCCGGCCACCATAACCTAAGCTGCTTCCCGTATCCGCTGGTTGAGGCGTTTATGTAGGGGCAAGTCAAGGGTTACTTTCACACACTAGTGGCCCCTGCCTTCCCATTCCCCTCCCCGTAGCCACGTAACCATTTCTCATCATATAAAAACTTACAATAATATTTTTGGAATTCTAGCTTTCATCAGTGCAACAATACCAACTATTTTATGCTCATTGGGAGTGGGTTTACTGAGTAGAACAGCTGTGCCCACTCTTACTCCATACTTGATAAGCAATTCATGAGTCCCCAATCTATTAGGCCCTCTCATGCCCCATTGCATTGTTTTATTCTCCCTTGAGAATAAAAATATTATAGAACTTATAGCTTTATTGGGCTTATGTTTCCTTCTAGAAGCCTAGTGAAGTAATTTCTCTCTTATAAATTCCATTTATGTGTCAGTTTTGATTCTCTTAAAAAAAATGATGCTTTGCTCATTGAGCAAGATTATAAACACAAGAATAAAATGTTTCACCAAAGTGTCTTTTGCTAACTCCCAAAGCCAAATGCTCTTTTTCTTCTTGAAATGTGTCCCCTTCAGAATCTGTTCTTATAACAGAATGTCCTGCTTTTACTTGACACTTGAATCATTTCTTTCTTCTGTGTGTCATGACATTTTCTCCTAATTCCCCTATCCCCTCCTCCTCACATTGTGTGTGTGTTTTGTTGTTGTTGTTGTTTGTGGTGGTTTGTCTAAACCTTTCTCTGCAATTCAGCCCCAGTTCCACCTGCCGTTAGTGGCTGCTACACTTAGGGCAGCCAGCCAGTGGGAAAGGAATTCAGGGGAGCCTCTTGTCTTTAAAGAGTCAGCCGATAGAACTGTAGCAGACTTAATGATCCTATGAGAATTGACAGACCAGCTAAGGGAGACCTCAGGCTACAAAGTAAATCCTAGGGCCCTCTCAGCAGATCACTAGCTCATCACTGCCTATGCTAGTTAAAGTTGTCCTTGTCCTTTTCCTAGAAGTTTCAGCCACCAGTGAGAGAGACCTGTGTGGAATGTCAGAAGACAGTCTACCCGATGGAGCGTCTCTTAGCCAACCAACAGGTGTTTCACCTCAGCTGCTTCCGTTGCTCCTATTGCAACAACAAACTTAGGTAAGCCAGACCAACACAAGCCATCTCTGGATAGATGGATCTTTGGAGGAATCTTTGGCTTTTAGAGCATTGGTACTAAAAGCTATTGTACTAACAGTGTTCTGTTGAAGGCCCTTGAGAAAAAGTAAAACACCACTTAGTGACAAGTGTGTTATATCAAACGATAATGGTGTTTGGAACTTCTTAATAAGTTGATATGTTAATTTGTATGTTAGGACTGATGCTTAAGTAATATGGATTGCAGGTAAAACCTCTAGTAACTTTCATTATGTGTATTTTCATCACAATAAAAAACATTATTAAAATACAAAAACAACCTCCTGTGACCTAATTTAGTAGAATGTTTTCCTTCATTATCATAGAATCATAAAGTTACAAAGTTTTAAGAGGTGACTTCCTAGGTCCTTACTTCAAAGCATGAATGACAGTAACAGCCCTTGAAGAGCATTGATCTTTCTGTGTTCCATCATTTTATTTCTGAGAAAATCATTATTATTACTTAACTCAAACTATGGATAGAATTTTAACAAAGTGAGCAAATACTCCGTAGTGGGTCACTTTAACCATAAAGTGTCAGAGAAGGAAGCAACTAAGATGTCACTTCCTCTAGCTTTCCTTCCAGAGGAAGCGTCCCTTCTCAAATGCTCTTGAAAGATGGTCTGCCATCTGCATAGCACCTCTGGGAGTAGATACCTCACAGCACCTACTTCCAGTTTTAGATAGTTCTAGCTAGACAGGTGGTCCTTACATTGAACCAAAACATGCCCACTCTTACTCCACACTTGATTTCCACTCATTAGTGTTTTTCTGCCCACCTGTATTCATCTTTTCCCAAAAGCACAGTTTGCTAGGTTTTTGAATTTTTGTATTTCTTCTGTGAAATGCTCTAGTTTTTGTTGTGTTAGTTGCCATTAAGTTAACTCTGACCCACCTTATGTATAAACAAAATTTTGCCCAGTCCCACATCATCTTTGTGGTCATTAGTATGTTTGAATTCCAGGTGTTTGCTTCTGTGTAAGAGACACCAAGTCTCCTGGAGGTCTGTCCAGCACTGACTAGGAGGGAAGCCTGATCTCCCAGCTATTGCTCAACATTTTCCTATTAACCATAGCTTAATTTTATTCAGCTAGTTGTCTTTATTGAATACCAGCTGTTTGCAGAGTGTCATATTTATTCCAATAGAGAGCTATGCCTTTAAATTATAGCAAAAATGGGATGCTAAGAAAATAGCATTGTAAGTAAGTATGAATTATAGATATTAAGAAATGTATGAGTGATCCAAGCTGGGTAAGACTGTCTAGGAAAGACTTCCTAGAAGTAATTTGACAGTTTTAAAAAGGGGGAGTGAAATAATCTGAGAAGAGAGTGTACATATCAGGGGAATAAATGACTTGTGAGGTTCAGAACTAGAAGTGAGCATGTGCTTAAATGTGCTTTAAGCACAAATAAGGGGATAGAGAATCCTAGGTGATTGATGTGCTTTTAGAGATGTTTTTCTCATGTGGCATCTTCTCGAAATACTGAAATTGCCACATTATTAGCCTGTTGGTGTAAATAAGAATAAAAGTATATAGATTGCTAACTTTCTACTTTTTCTTTTAATGGACAGTCTTGGAACCTATGCATCTTTACATGGAAGAATCTATTGCAAGCCTCACTTTAATCAGCTCTTTAAATCTAAAGGCAACTATGATGAAGGTTTTGGGCACAGACCACACAAGGATCTATGGGCAACTAAAAATGAAAATGAAGAAACTTTGGAGAGACCAGTCCAGCTTCTTAATGCAGGAGAGACTCCTCAGAGCCCAGGAGTAGAAGATGCCCCTATTGCTAAGGTGGGTGTGCTGGCAGCAAGTATGGAAGCCAAGGCTTCCTCTCAGCGGGAGAAGGAAGACAAGCCGGCCGAAACCAAGAAGTTGAGGATTGCCTGGCCACCACCGACTGAACTTGGCAGTTCAGGAAGTGCTTTGGAGGAAGGGATCAAAGTGTCCAAACCTAAATGGCCTCCTGAGGATGAAAGCAGCAAGCCTGAAGCTCCTGAGGATGTAGATCTGGATCTGAAGAAGCTAAGACGATCTTCTTCGCTCAAGGAAAGAAGCCGCCCATTCACTGTTGCAGCTTCATTTCGAACCACTTCGGTCAAGAGTCCCAAAACCTTGTCACCTCCTATCAGGAAAGGCTGGAGCATGTCAGAGCAAAGTGAGGAGTTTGTAGGAGGAATAGCAGTAGAAAGGAAACATGTGGAAAATGCCAAAGCCTTGGAGAAGAATGCAGGTACAGGAAAAACAACCACCTGGCAAAACAGGGAATCTGAAGGAAGAGAGTCAGGAAGGAGAAGTAAGGAAGTTCATGGTTTTGAGCTAGGGAATGAGAATCTTGTAGAAAATGGTGCAAACTTAGATGAAGATGATGGAACCCTTCTCAAACAAGAGTCTCCTATAGAACCCAAGTCTCCAAATTGGTCCAGCTTTGTAGACAACACCTCCACCAAAGAATTCACTGCTCAGAATCAGAAATCCCAGGACATGGGATTCTGGGAGGAAGAAGTGGTCAAAAACCTATCTGTGGAAGAACAGATAAAACGAAATCGGTACTACGATGAGGATGAGGATGAGGAATGATAAATTGCAGTGGTGCTGGGCCTTGAATTGGGGTTAGTGTTAGTGAGCCTCTCTGCCCTTTATCAAAGTGATGCACATAAACAGGTATTGCAGCGTGAACCATAATTTATGTGAAAGTAACCTTGGAAAAGAGTTCCTGCTTCAAAAAAAAAATCCCATACTGCAGCTTAAGTGAACCAGTTCTAAATGTTAGAGACAACATTACTTAATTCCTCCATTTCACCAGTGATGGTATGCATAAACAGCTTTAAGGTTTTATCAATACAAGGGAATATTCCAAATGATATAATCTGGAATCCACTGTATTCCCAAAAGGCATCTTAAAGTAGATAGATAATTAGTAGTACACTGTTAAAGTACAAATACTGTTCTGGAATTAGGGAACATGCCGAAGGGATTTAGGGACCTAAACATTATGCACTTTAGTATAAAGGGCACAGTTTGTAAATGTTTCAATAATACCAATTTAATTGTTTAGTATTCATCTTCTAAGAGATCAAATACTTAGCCCTTTTTAAAAAATTTTACGTTAATTTTCTTACTTGGATATATAAGGGGGAATTTTACTTTGCATCCTACACTCGAGACCATACCCTGGCCTGGATTATTGAGGTATGGCACAGCCATCTTTTCACAGCAGCTTTTGAAGGAGTTGAAGAACCAGCCTACATGCTTTGATGGTTGGAGAGATATACTCCCTCCCAAATACATTATGATATTTGCCAATTTGTTTACACGCCAACTGATTGCTTTCCTCTCTGCTGGTCAGTCTATGCTTCTTGTAACTTACTGAAAGCTGCAATATTTTTCTAAGATCTTTTGGGTCACTGTTCACTACACTCCATGTTAGAGCAAGGTCAGGAGTATAAAGGAGAAATAGCAAAAAAACTGCCTTAAGCCATTGAGCACAGACCCCTAACCCTGTATTCCACTTCTGACATCCCCTTTCTGAGACACTAGTTTTTTAATACTTATCAACTCTGAAATGTATTGATTTTGTGGTAGACAGTATTTCCAGGGTACAATTAAACCAACTATATAGGCCTTTTTCTTAGGATGATTTTCTAGTATTAAAGCTTTGAAACATTATTAACTTCAGCACATTTATTGTACATAATTGATATTCCAAATTGTATGTGTGGTGGGGAGAGGTGTTTTAAGCTATAGGCTTTTCCTTTGTACTGCATTTATAGACATTTAGCTCTAATGTTTTTTAGCAATGTAAAATATTCTGCTTTCTTACAGTCTTGCTTAGTCTGAAACATTTTTCTTCAATAAAGCTTTTACATTTGAACTTTTCAGTGTTCTTTTTTCATTCTTTTTTTCTTATTTTTATTTTAGCATAGCACAATCTCTGTTGTTGTTGTTGTTATGTGCCGTTGAGTCAAACCCGACTCATAGCGACCCCTCCTTGGGTTTCCGAGTTAGTATCACTACGGAAGTAGGATTGCCCAACCTTCCTTCCAAGGAGAGGCTGGTGGGTTTGAACCGCCAGTCGTCTGGTTAGCAGGCAAGTGTCTTAGCCACTAGGCTACCAAAGCTCCCAGCACAATCTCTAAGGGCCTCCATTTACCTTAGGAGTTTGGAAAGAAAAAGGCAAATGGAACACTTGCGTTTAGGGGATGAGAAATGGTATTACTACATTTTACCAGTAGGTGGTAGTGTTGGGCTGATCTTGGGCTTTCATCCACACAGGGAAGAAAGGTTTTTTGGAAAGATCGGAAGTTGCTTGGCAAAAGAATGAATGTGTTCATTCAAAATGAGCTGTGTTTTACCAACTCAAAATCCAGTGGTGGGTTTTATTGTTTATTCTACTCAACATTTAATAATTCACCTTACGATTATGCGTAACATGCTAAAAGGGGTTTCCAAATCCATCTGCTGAAAGTGGACTGACTTACCACTCCAGGCAGAAGCACATGTCGTTGTTTGATTTCCTTGCCTGCAAAGGCAACTGCCTCGATAGTTAAGGCTCTTTTCTTTTTAACGGTAGGATTGTTGTTTTGCATGAAGCCGATTTTCTACTCATAGCAACCCCATTTGACAGTAGAACTGCCCCGTATGTGTTTTCTAAGCTATAATTTTTAAAGGAGCAAACCACTAGGTCTTTCTTCCCCAGAGTCACAGGATGAGTTCAAACTGCCAGCCATTCAGTTACAGCCAAGCATGTAACCACTATACCACCAGGATAAGAGGATATATTTCCTTGGACATAAGAATGCTTTTGAGTTATCTGTTACATTTTGCAAGGTTAATGTATGTTCTAGGACTTTGCCTTGCTTTCTGAATGGATTGCAGGAGACTACTTTGTGCTCTCAATCTCACCACATGGTGAACGAAGTCTTTTTAGAAGTCCCTGTTCACTGAACAGTTAACAGAAAGCCCTGTTGCCATTCATGAAATATCCCAATCCTGGTTTGAGTTTAGCTGCCCTTCACTGTGTGACTCACTGTCTGCCTCTTTAAGCCACCCACACAGTGCTCACCATCTGCACTGACAATACAGGGAAGTCTGAGTGCCTGTGCTTGGTATTTATGAAAATCAATTATGTCACTATGTATCAGGTACTTGGGGACTAAGGTTACTCTTAGAAAAACCATTTTCTGTGCCTTCCAAGAACTACGATAGACATATCATTGTAGGTGCAGAGGGTAGAAACAAGGATTAGCACCATAATCAATATAAGTAAAGGGATGTCCTTGTCAAGAGGACCAAATAACACCAAACATTCTTAGGAAACAATCTGCAGCCAAACTAACAGTTTATTCTCTCAGCTGTCTAAATGAAGTCAACCTTGTTTTTACTTGGTATGGCAATAGAGAGGGCAATACTAAAATGATTGAGTTTTTCTGTTTAAGAAGTTAAGAAAAGGGGCCATCTTGGGACTTGAAATAGTTAAGGATACTGTTCATGACTGCTACAGGACCAGTTTGGTTCCAGCAGCTTACTGGTCACATCACTTCTGACCAAAGTGAAAGCTGCACCTAATTTCCTTTCATTAGATATGCTTTCTAACAACTGGATGTGTTAATTATCACTGGTGACTGGAATGCAAAAGTTGGAAAGAAGAATCACCGGTAGTTGGAAAATTTGGCCTTGGTGACAGAAATAATGCTGGAACTCGTACGGTAGAATTTTGCAAAACCAACGACTTGTTCA